ATTTCTACTACCCATTATATTCAAAGAACTATTAAATTTAATATAATGCACACAAAATTACTCAAAATATATTTGAAAGCTAAAAGAATTTATTTATAAAAAAAGGAGAAAAAGTTTTTTTTCCGTACATTCCTTCGGAAATACTTTACATACATATTTTTCACACAAAAATTTAGTTAAAAATGTAAATGTATTATTATTAATTAACATAAATTAAAATTATATTTATTTATATTAATTTTAATTAATATTTTAAAGTATATATTTTCAACAATTAAAAATGAAAAAAAAATTCTACAAATTACAGTCATAGAACAATACAAAACTACCACGCGAAGCGAAGAGTTGGAGAGTCAAACTTCTAGAAGTGGAAAAATCTGTCTGTTATTTCTCTCCTTTTTTTTTCTTTTTCATTGTTTCCTGTCCTACCCTACCCCTATTAGGTCTGCGCTAATCGAAAACGGGAAAAAAAAAATGTCAACCGAAATACATAGTTGTGGGTAATTATGGCCAGATGGTAATGCGTTAATACGTGCTTAGTTTTGATTAATATTTTATTAATTTATAATTTTTTAACTAATTAATTAATTATAATATTTAAAAATATTAGTGTAAGATAATTTTAAATTTTTAAATAATAAATATTAATTTTTTCGGTTATTGAAGTATTATCAATTTTTAACGTCAAAGTCTTAAATCAAATAAAATTAATATTTAAAAAAAATTATATGATCATTATCGTACCCAAAATATGGGAACTGTAAAGGCCGTGGGCATGATTATTGTTGTTAAAATAAATGTTAAAATTATAAAAAATTATTATGAGTATATTTAATTTGATAATTAAAAATAATTAATAATCAAAATATCTATTACTTAATTATTTTATATCTCTTTATAAGTTCATATTTTTAAATATTTTAATTAATTATAAACAAATAAAGTCAATAAATTAAATACATCTATAATATTTTCATATGGGCGTAACATTTATCCACATGACAATAACATTTGCATGGGTTACTCTCTTTTCTATGTGACAAAAGGAAGTACTTCTTTTTATTTATTTATAATAAATTTAATTAAATTTTTTATTTTTAAAATATAAATTTTAGATAAAATTTTAATAATTTATATAAATAACAATTAAAAATTATTTCAATCAAATAAAAATACTTAATAAGAATAAAAAAAATTTAATTGTTGTTTATCTAAAATTTTAAATTTTTATTCAAAATTCATATTTTAAAAATCAAAAAATTAAAGTAAGTTTATTAAAAATAAATGTAAAAAATACCAATTATTATCACAAATCACTAACAAAAGTTTTTTTTTTATTATTTTAGGTTGATTGTATAACCAAAAGAAATTTTAAATTTTTATTCAAAATTCATATTTTAAAAATAAAAAAATTAAAGTAAGTTTATTAAAAATAAATGTAAAAAATACCAATTATTATCACAAATCACTAACAAAAGTTTTTTTTTTATTACATAATGGAAGACAACTATCTCTCATCCTTATTTTACCTCATTTACATACTATATAACTTGAACTCAAGATCTCTTACTTTCAGTAAAAAAAGATAATAACTGAATTATTTTGATTATTGACTACTAATAAAAGTTTAATTGAGTTAATAATTACAATCTAAAAAATTTTATTTTGGCATTAATATCACAAGTTCAATCTTTTATTATAGCAAGTAACAAACTATTTTATATAAAAAAATTATTATCACAAATCAAATTGTTAGGACCAATACAATTACGAATTTTTCGTTTGAATTTGTAGTGTAGAGTAAATCATGTTTATTTGCTACATGACTCTAACTTGCTATCCTACTCTTCTGAGACTTCGAAGTGCCCTCCTTAAACCTAAGTAAAACACTTTTATTATAGAAAAAGTCGTGTATCAATTATGATTTTCATAAAAAACTAGAACTTTAGTTTTTAAAAATACTATATTTCAATAAATATTTAAAAAAAGCAATTATTAAATTTCATATATTATTTATATAAATTATACATATTAATTTTTAAGTTGATTTAATATTTATTCTTTCTGTCTCATTGTTTTTTAATTTTGAATTTATCTTAAATTTATTATTATTTTTTTCCTATTTTAGGCTGGTAATTTTTTTTTATTTTAACATT